CCAATTGAGACGCTGGAGACGATTTCCTCCTTCGATCCTTCTGCACAAGAACGTCGCTAGTGAGAAGCAGGAAGAAGATCATAACAGCTAGCTGCAGGTATCAACAAAAGTCTCTGACCTTCATCCCCTCCCTCCCCTCTTGGTTGCCCGGACCACGCGGCATCCGCAACTGCCTGAGAGCGAGCATGAGCTTCCTCACGAGAGGGGGCGAGGCACGCAGGACCTGAGCATCTTCCAGCTCCTGCTTGATCTCAGCCTGCGCGTCCAACTTCAATCCCGAGAAAACTCAAACCTCCCGCCGGACCTTCTTAGAGAGCTTCGATTCCCGGGGAGCAGCAGCAGCTCGGGGTTCAACCCTCAGATTTTGCTTCTGCTTCCTACTGGCGACTTCTTGCGTCGGATGCCTTGGAACGAGAGAGTAAGGCATTGGAATGAGCAGTAGAGTCGCTGTCATTGTCACCTTCCGCTATGTTCGCCTTCATCCCCACGACCAACCTGCTTGACCGCCTGAAACTTCGTCATGCTCGATTCATTCTTCTTTCTCTGGTCTCAACCTGCCGTCCCTCTCTCTCGCTCGCCGGCCTCGCAGGAGGTGAGGGAGGGAGTTGTCTTGATCGTATCCGCCTTCGCGCTTGCGACTTGACGTCGATACTGGCAAACAGTTCTTTCTGCAGGTTTCGGAGGATGCTCTTTGCTGACGACTTCCCCTTCTCGCTGTTCATCGTTGACGCTAAATCCAGAAGCTCCTTTTGTTGAGAAACTTGCTCCTTCGCCGCGTCGCGCTGATGCTGCTTCACCTCCGATCCCAAATCTTGCAAGAGGGAGTCAGGCTCAGAAAGAAGGAGGGAGGCGGGAGGGAGGGAGGGAGGGAGGGATGAGAGTTGAGAGAAGCTGAGGGAGAAGGTGAGATGATGAAGGTGAAGGAGGAGGAAGTTGAAAACCGCACCCATCTGCTTCAGTTTATGAAGGATCCCCTCTAGACCGCTCGCCATTCCCTGATAGAAACCTCGGGGTTTCTGTACGAGTTCCGATTGTCTTGCTCTGCGCGATCGTACCAAAGGCTCCCTCAAGCTTTCTGGAACCACCGAAGGGACATGCAGGGGAAAGGTGAGGAGCAGGAGCAGGAGCAGGAGCAGGAGAGCAGGAGCAGGAGAGCAGGATGAGATAGGTGAAAGATAATGACAGAGGAGAAGAACAAGGAGCAAGAAACACAGAAATATATCAGTAATGATACATCACATCAGGCACATCTCACCCTGCTTGCCCAACATTCCAAGCTCCATCCTCCCTCCTCCGCTACGAAGGAGGGAGGAACAACACAGCAGCAGTAGCAGCACGCTGATGATTGAAGCAGCGAGCTTGGCAGTGTTCTTCTTGTTTCTCTCTCCATCATGTTCTCTTGTCCTCTGCATGGCGGCGACGCCGACTCCACCTTCTTCTCCTCCGCCCCCACCCTCAGGGTTCCCCCAGCATGGCGCTCCTTGCCCTATTTCCGGCAGAGACTTCTGGATTGGAACGATACAATGAACTGTATAAACTGTATAAACAGACAATATATTTTCAAATAAAAAAAGAATTAAAAATTATTTAGATCTTCAAAACAATAAAATTTATTGATCTAATAGGAATAAAATTGTGTAAAATACTGCGAATGAAAGAAACAAAAACTCTTCACCTAGCCGTGCGACCGGTCATCAGCGACAGCCGACATGGAGGCAGAAGCGAGTACTATCCCTCCCTCCTCCTCCTCCTCCCCGCCCTCTCCGCCCCCCCCGCCCTCCTCCTCCTCCTCTCACCACCAACAGCACAAGAAGCATCCTACAAACTCTCTGTCCTCCCCTCCCTCTTACACTCTCCTGGCCTCTCGGGCAATCGTTGCTTCTGCCTTCCTGCTAGTCGTCGGCTATACCGTAGGAGGGTTCAACCCCACAGTCCTTGCCCCGTCCTCCGCCTCCTCCCCCCATCCTGCCCATAGAGCTGGGAAGATGTCGCAGACGAACGTTGAGGTGCTTGCGGGGATCAAGGAGATGAAGGTGAGTTTGTATGGATGACACGGCTGGACTGATGGAACGCTGTAGAAGGGAGAACATTACTTCCCAGGGGACCATGAGGACGATGGGAATGTGTTTGACAGCAGTCAAGATTATCTGGGAGCAAGTGATGGTAAAGTTCTCTTTTCTCTTGAGCTCGTCTTGAATGCGATGATGATGATGATGATGATGATCATGATCATCATCGCATTGAAAATGATGATGGTGGTGATGATGGTGTTGGTGGTGGTGATGATGATGGCGATGACTTGATTGATCGTTGCGTTCACAGTTGTCGATCACAGTGCGATGAGGGCAGAGGCGAGAGGAGGACGGAGATGGTCGTCAGGAGCCACCAGGAGGAAAGATCACTGGAGGAAAGAGGAGGACATGCTGGAGAACTTGCGGAAGAAGGCAGAGGCGCGGCTGAAGAAGGACGAGCAGGCGAAGGAGACGGGGGAGGGTCATGAGGGAGGGACGGTGAGGATCGAGAACGTAACGATGAAGGCAACGGATGATGGAGAGTTCGTTCCTGACGATACGATTAGAGCGATCGCAGCAGCAGGAGGGTATGACACAGTCGAGTCGTGGGAGGCGGCGAGGAAATCGGAGGGAGTTGGGAGGGCGGCGGAGAAGAAGGCGGGGAGCGCGGGCGCGGGCAAGAAGACGTCGACGACGCTGGTGGAGAAGGAGAAGCGGAAGGAGGAGAGGAGGAAGGAGAGGAAGGAGGTGGAAGCGGCGAGGAGCAGAGGGGAGAAGCAGCCTAACATGATCGAGAACTTGGGCGAATGGATCGCCTCCAAGTTTCATGCCAAGAACGAGCAGATTCTAGCGGGGGGCATGGAGCAGGAAAGATTGCAGAGGAAACAGGTTTGAGCAGCAGCAGCAGCAGCAGCAGCAGGAGACGGTTGGGCAAGAACATTCAGATGGAGCAAGAAGAGAAGTGGAAAGATAAACTTCATGACATGTAACCAAATTTATAGAAATCGTTGTGAACAAATTGAAACAATGCAACCGTTAGTCGCCACCCTCCAGAGCTACTTGAACACCCTCCCCTCTTCCTCCTCCTCGCACTCTTTGTCGCTCCTTCACACCTCCTCTCTTGTGATTTTAATCTCCTTCCACCTTCACCGCCACGTTCGCCTGCTCACCACACAAGTCATAAGAGCCTCACTCCTCCATAACCCGCCAACCCATGCTCTCTTGCTGCTGCTAACTCTCATGTGTTCTCCTGCTCCTGCTCCTGCTCCACTTCCTCCTCCTCCTTCCTTACCGCAGGTGCTTCCAGTCGTTCCTTCTCCAGTTCCACCACCACCAGCTCAAGGATGTAGTTCCCCCTGTGTGCTCGTCATACTCCTTTCCCTCTTCTTTGTCCTCCCCTCCTCCTCTCCCTCCATCCCCCTTGACTCTCTCCCCTTCCTCACGTTATCCCCGATGATTTGGTCGTAGCTTCTGCCTCCCCTAGCACCATGCTCTGCAGTGTGGACAGCAGCTGTCGCTTCCTCGCCCGCCGTTGCTGCTCCTTTATCTTATGCTTCTCCATCTCCGCGTTCCCGCTGCCTCCTCCCTCCTGCCCCCTCGGCGTTGCAGGCTCAAGTGCGAGCTCCTCGAGGCCTGCAGGCAGATGAGACGCGGGTCGGAGCAGCAGCAAGGGCAGGAGCAGCAGCAGGGGCAGGAGCAGCAGAGGGAGCAGAAGGAGCAAGTGCAGGAGCAGGGAGCAGGGAGCAGGGAGCACGAGTAGCAACGGGAGCAGGAGCAGGAGGAGCTGCAGGGCAGGAGGAGGTAACTACCAAGGTGGGCGATGCTCATTCCCTTGCGAAGGAAGCGATCTTTAAGCGCGTCTACCGCACACCCCAGGACGAAGTTGTAGGTGACCTGAAGAAGCAAAAGCGTCAGAAGAGCGCGACCAGGACAAGGAGGGAGCATCAGAGGAGGAGACGCACAAAGAGCAGGAGGAGCAGGAGGAGGAGAAAGAGGACGAGGAGGAGCAGGAAGCACAGGCACGGGAGAAGATGAGAAGGGGAGGGAAACTGAGGTGGGCTCACCTCCGACGCAGAGGGAGGAGAATCTCGTTGATCAAAGAGCAAAGACTGCAATCTGGCAAGCAGCTGCTTCTCTCTTGCTCGTCTCGCCTGCTTCCTGTCAATATTCTCCCCCTCCTCCTCCTCCTTCCCCTCCTCCTCCTCCTCCCCCCCTTCCCCTCTCCCTCCCCCCCCTCCCCCTTTCGTTTCTCACCTGCTCTTTGATCTTGTGTAGCTCCAGCGAGTTTGCCGTCACCCTCGTCACTGTCGGTCTGGGCGTTCCTCCTGCTCCTCCTCCGCTCACACTGGCCTCTTCGCCCGCTCCCTCCTCCTCCGCTTGGTTCGCTCCTCCTCCTCCTCCTCCTGTACTGAGGACATGGGGGCTCGATACACGGCTCTCCTGGTTGGACCCTCCAGCAGAGGAGGCGCTGACTGGGGAGGAGGCAGAGCTGAGCTTGCGGAGCTCCAGACCCTCCCCTGCTCCCCCTTCGGTAGACGCGCTGTCGGGGGCAAGAGCAGCGAGGGGAGACGCTGCTCCGTCCTTGGCCGAGTTCGGCTGGGAGGAGAATCAAGACGAGGAGCAGAGATGGGAAGGAGACTTGAGGAGAGTTGCTGAGAGATGGAGAAGCGAGGAATGAAGGAGGGTAAGGAAGCAGGATCAGGAGGAGCAGAAGGAGCAGGAGTAGGAGTAGGAGCAGCAAGAGCAGGAGGAGGAGCAGCAAGAGCAGGAGGAGGAGCTTGGTATACCTGAGAGGAAGGACGGCGGAAAGTGTATCCGCACAGGGCACAGAACTTACAGGCGATAGAGATCCGCTCACCACATCCTGAATGGAATATTATGACGAGCCAAGGAAGGCAGTGGAGGAAGATGGGGAATAGGCTGGAGAAAGAAGAGCAGGAGCAGGAGCAGGAGCAGGAGCAGGAGCAGGAGCAGGAGCAAGAGCAGGAGCAGATGGTTTACCCGGGCATGCACGGGTGACTTGGCGGCCTCTTGCTGCTCCATGTCTGCTGTTGACGCTGCTGCCTCCCGTCTGATGCAAGCTGAGTCAGAGCTGGCGAAGAGGAGGAGGAGGAGGAGGAGGAGGAGGAGGAGGAGAAGGAGGAGGAGGAGGAGGAGGAGGAGAGCGAGGAGGAGGAGGAGGGTCTTTACCCCAGGGGACTGGAGGCTTCCTGAGCTTCTGTTTCTCCTCCCCGCCTCCTCGCTGCTCTCCCATGCTTCTACACTTGCCCCCAGCTCCTGCAGAGCTGCGATCGCTGCCTCGTCTGCTCTGCTCAGCTCCCCGACCTTGTCCCTGTCCTTGGAGGCTGCAGCCTCTCCCCTCCTGGTGCTCTTCCCCCTCACTTCCGCGCCCTTCTTCGGCGCCTCCTCCTTCCTGCCCTCCTCCTCCTGCTTTTCTGGCGATTCCAAGTTGAGATTCATCCCCTGCACCCCGCGCGCTGCTGATGTCGAGGGACTCTCCTCAGGCCACAGGGCCCTCCTCCTCTCCTCCTCTCCCGCAGCCGCCCTCCTGTGCTCTCCTCCCCTCCCTCCCTTCCCCTCCATGGGAACCGCCGCCAGCCATGGCACACCGAGCTTGCTCAGCAGCTCCCCGCTCAGCGGGATCTTTGTCCCGTCCGACTTCACCAGCACAGGCACCTGCTGCTCGGATCCTCGCACGCCCCCATCTCCCCCTTGCCTGCGCTCCTCCTCCTGCTTGCCTCGCAGCATCCCCAGCACCATCATCCCCCCTGCCCCTCCTGCACCTGTCGCTACTCCTCCTGCCATGTTCTGCAGCATCGCAAGTGCCGCTGCTGCGTTCTCCGTGTCTGCGTTGCCTCCACCCACAAGGGCAGGGATGGCAGGAAGCAGAGCATTGCCGTCCTACAGGGCCACGTAAGCGGCCGTGGACGTGGAAGTTGGGGAGGGGAGACGAGGAGGAGGAGGAGAACGAGGACGAGGCAGGGGGAGAGGAGGCGGAGAAAGAGGATTTCAGGAAGAGGCCGCAAAAAGAAAGTGAATGATGAAGGGATGAAGGGAATGGAATAGAACAGGCAAGGTTAAGATGAGGAGGGGGGGGCGGGGGAGGCGAGAAAAGAGGAGGGAGATGGGGAGGAGGAGGAGGAGGAGGAGGAGAAAGGACCTGCTGCAACTTGGTCTTCTTATCGTCAAGTGTTGACTTTGCAGGGCCTCCAGCTGCTTTCTGGTCCGACGAGGACGAAGACGAGGAGGACGCTTTCTTGCCTTTAACTTCACATTGCTGATCCTCCTCTCTGCCCTCCTCCTCCTCTTCCCCTTTTTCCTTGTCCTTGTCATTTTCCTTGTCCTTCTTGTCCTCCGGTTCCTCCACCTCCATCTCGAAGATTGTTCCGTTCTCGAAGTTGGGAGAATCCTTGGTCTCGAACGAGTTCCCTCGCACCACCAACTGCAAAGCTTCGTCATTCTTCTGCTACTTTCCCCTTCCCTCCTCCCTCCGTTCCTTCTTCTCCTCCTTCTTCTCCTCCGCTCCTCCCTTGGTAATTTCCCTCCATTTTCACCTTTCGGCGGGTCGGGCTGTTGGTTCTTGCTACAACCTTAGGCGGAAGACCCTATACGTGTTTCAGAACAGAGGAAGCGCTCATGAGATAAAAGCAATACCTTCGGCGATGACGAACTCTGACCTTCATCACCTCCTCCTCCTCCCCCTCCCCCTCCCCCTCGGGCTCCCAAGCTAATCGCCATGTCCTGCCGGAAGGCCTCCCTACTCCAACAAGTCTCAAACTCCTCCTCCTCCGGGCATAAAAGCAATCAGACCTGCCATGAAGCTCCTCCACTTCATCCATCAGAGAGAAGCCTGAACGCGGCTCGCGTTACTGCCTCGCTCCCTTCCTCCTACCACCTCACCATGCCATGACGACGCCTTCACGCTGTTGTCAGACCCGAAGATGTCAAGCTTGGTTCGCTTCTGCGGAGAAGCAAGCGGAGGCTGCCGGATCTCCGTGAGCGCTTCTCCGTGTCGCTGAGGAACGAGGAGTGGTCAGTGACAGCGACAGCAGCAGGGGGAGAGCAGGGCAGGGAGAGGAATGAGGAGGGAGAAGAAGAGGAGAAGATTGCTGAGAGGAGGTAGTATGGACTCATCCTCACCTCCATCCTCGGTCTGTGGCCAACTAGTCTTTGCTTCTTCCTCCCGCGTTCTTTTTCCTCCCCTCCCCTCGCTCCCTGAGGTTTTCTGACCAGCAAGTCCCTCAAGCCGCGTCAGCTGCGATCTTTCCCCCCATTCCTCTTCTTCACAGCATTCACTTCTCTTTCGAGCTCTCAACCTTCCAGTGCTACCATCCACGTCTTCTCTTCGCAACAACCACAGATGCCCTGAGCTCAAGTCCAAACCTTGCTCTCCCTCAACTGGTAGCCGAATGCGTGACGACGCTGCTCTCCCCCAGTTCCCGCTGTCATGTTACATGTCAGATCCCACAGAAATATCGCTAACTTTCGAAATTGAGCAAATGGATCTAACAATCATCAGAATGCATCGAGACATGTCAAGCTTATGACGAACACGAGGACCGCAAGGGTCTCAACACAACACAAACATCTGGGACGCGGGCAACGCTGATTCTCGCAAACGGGCAAGAATCAAGCTTACAAAGATGTAAAACGAGACTAGATGAAACAGCGCCGTCCTCTCACTCCTGCTCGGAATCTTTGTTCTCCTATCTCTATGAAGAGCAAGACCATCGTAGCGCACGTGAAGACGAAACAAGCAGTTTTGCACTCGCTATGTTCACAGGGATGAAAGCAGAGGAGAGAAGGCAGCGTGCTGACTATTTCTCGAAGCATGAATTGTTGATGAGCAAGAGACAGGACATGGCACTCCTGCGAGAGTGTGCAGAGCAAACTCATATCAAAGCAGCATTCCGAATATGGCAAGGGGGGTGCTGAGAATAATGTAGGAGGCACAAGAGGCTGTCCGTGAGGAGGAAGGCGCTGATATCAGTCAGAGTGGAGTATCAGGAAGCAGCAGAAGCAGGAGAAGGGAGCCGGAGGAAGCAAGGATCGCGCATGCGCGGCATGCCCCAGGGCGGGAACCGCCATGGCGCCAAAGCATGCGTGTCACGTGCGGCGGAGGCCGGTCAATGGTGGGGGTAGTCTGCATACAAAGTAGGGGGTGGAGGTACATGGTGTAAACGGTGGGGGTAGTGGCAGTCGCAAGCGCGGGTCTTTCTACTGGGGGTGATGAAAAGGAGACTGGTGGGGTAGAGGAAGGGTAAAGTGGGGGTAGTGGGGGTACTTCTGACAAGCTCCCCGACAAACAAGGATCAGGGGAGACGATATGAGATCGAGTGAATAAGGAGGAGCAGGAGCAGAAGCAGGAGCAGGAGCAGGAGCAGGAGCAGGAGCAGGAGCAGGAGGAGCAGGAGGAGCAGGAGCAGGAGCAGGAGCAGGAGCAGGAGCAGGAGCAGGAGCATGATATGGAATCGAGAGAAGCAGCAGCAGCAGCAGCAGCAGCAGCAGCAGCAGCAGCAGCAGCAGCAGCAGCAGGCTCGTAATCAAATGAATGGCAGTATATTGAATGACCTACTGCCGGCTGCCGTCATTCACCCTACTGACTAAGTCACTCGATTCAAACACGTCTCGTCAGCTCATCTCAGCTCGTTCAAGGACACATCGAGTTTCAGCAAGCAAAGAAGAGCGTGGAAGGATTGGAGCGCATCTGAGGTCGGAGTGAGGAGGATGAGGCAGCGCGCTCGTGCGGCATTTTTGATGTTTTACTACAGCGGCGACTTGATCCCTTCACTTGGCGAGAAGCTCTGTCACCAGCGAGGCAAACTTGTCTCCCTCCGTGATGTCGTATCCTCCTCTTAGCTGCGCCACGTGGAACCTGCAGGTCACAAGGTCAGCCCGTCGCCTCTGCGGGAGCAACAACGGCTTACAAGAGACTTGCAACCCTCTTCTCGTCCTCGCCTGGCTCTCCGGCGTCCAACTACACGCATGAGTCAACGACAAGGGAGAGGAGCGGCTGATCCAAGGAGCTACGTACCTTGTCCTTGAGAGAGATGAGGATGGGGTGGTTCGGGTTGACCTGAAGGATGGCGGCCTGACCGGAGTTTCCGCTCCAGTCTGCCTCCTCCCCCATGGCAACGGCTCTTGCCTTCATGTACTTCTGCATCTGGGGCGACATGCCGTATTGTGCCTGGGCTAGCGTAGACGGGCTATCTGACAAAGACAAGCTGATCTCGACCTTAGACACGCGCTTCTGACCGAGAGTGTCCGTGAGGAACTTGAGGACTTGATCAAAGCTCTTCTCCTTCTCCTGTTTCTCCTCCTTCTTGTCTTCGCTGTCGTCGATGCCCTTCACCGTGTCTCGCCCAAGGTCGATGATCTCGATCTTCTTGTCTTCCGGGCCGTCCACCTCCTTCAGCTCCATCATGCAGAGCTCATCGAGGGGCTCGACGCAGTACATCACTTCATACCCATTGCTCTTCACCTTCTCCAGCGCAGGAGACATTTCACACTGAGCCCTTCCATCCCCCGACACGTAGTAGATGTACTGCTGACCTTCCTTCATCCTAGACACGTACTCGCCCAAGGTGGTGAGATTTCCCTTGGATGCAGACGATCCGAAAGTAATCAGCTCCCCGATGTCTTTCCTGTGCTCGTTGTCCTCGATCACACCAACCTTGAGGTACTTGCCGAATTGCTTCTGGAAGGTGTCCCAGTCTTCTCCACCCTTGCCCTTGATGTCATTGAACATGTCAAGTGACTTCTTCACGATCCTTCGAGACACTACTCTCAAGACCGAAGATTTCTGCAAGATTTCACGTCCAACGTTCAAGGGGAGGTCCTCCGAGTCGATGACGCCCTTCACAAACTTGAGCCAGCGAGGGCAGAGCTCAGTGAACTTGTCGTTGATGAACACTCTCTTCACGTACAAGCGCATGTTGCCCGCGTTTTCATCAAACATGTTGCTCCCGAGCTCGAATGGCAACATGCTAGGAACATAAAGCAGAGCACGAAATTCAACCTGACCTTCAAGGGAGAAGTGAGAGAGGGTAAGAGGCTTATCGAAGGCCTTGAATGTGCTCTTGTAAAACTCCTCGTATTGCTCTGCCGTGACCTGAGAAGGTGGGCGCATCCAAAGGGGCTGCTGCTTGTTCTGGACTTCCCACTCCTGCTTCGTGACGGGGATGGTCTTCTTCTTGGGGGTTTCGCCCTCCTTGAGATCTTTGTTGGCTTCTTCATCTTCAACCTGCTCGTAGGTAGTCTTGGTGGTGAAAACCTGTCAAGAGCCCCGTCAACGCGCGATTCAACGGCAAGCTTCGATGGTACCTTGATCGGGAAGTTGATAAACTCGGAGTACCTCTGCACGAGGGCTTTAATCTTCATGTCATCCAGGTACTCGTCGGCGTCCTCCCGCAGGGTGAGCTCGATGCGGGTCCCTGAGTTCCCTTCGATGCCGCTTTCCCCCTCAACCTCTGATATTGTGTAAGAGCTTCCAGCTTCTGACTCCCATCTTATAAAGGATGTATCAGCTCGCATCCTACACATCTTCCACAGCTACCTGTATGACCTTCCTTGCTCGTCATTGAGGCCCTTACTAATCACTGTCATCTTATTGGCAACCAAGAAGCCTGATGTAACGGTTTTAGAGGTCTCTTAAGCATCAAGGAAAAGTAGACCTGAATAGAAGCCGACACCAAATTGTCCAATAAGATTCGCTGCACTGTCACCCTTATTCTTCTCCTTGGCCTGAACTTTCAAGGTCAAAAGAAACAGAGCAAATGTGGCATATATCACCTTCAACATTTCAGCAAATTGCTTTGTTCCAGACTGAGCAATACGCCCCAAGTTGTTGATCAATTCATCTTTTGTCATTCCCACACCAGAGTCTTCGATAATCAACTGTGCCATCGCAACATCAACCAATCCCTACAGGATTTCTTGACTAATTCACCTTCTTCTGCTCTTTGTCAGCTTGAATCCTGATCTCAAGATTATCAGCAGAGCCCTGTTTCGACTCTTGTCATTCAGCCATCATGCTATGCACAGATCAGAACCTTGTTCTCGGTGATCGCAAGGAATCGCTTCTTGTCACAAGCATCGGCAGCATTGGAGACCTTGCCAAGATGGAGGAGTAAGAGACATTATGTCCAAAACACTTCGCATGAACCCACAAGCTCACGCAGGAAGACGTCTTTGTCACTGTAGAGCGAGTTGATGATGATGTCCATCACCCGCGAGACCTCGGCCTGGCAAAAACACCATGTCAAAACCAGGTCAATGTTGTAAGAAGCAACAACACCTGGAACTCGAAGGTCTCGGGTGCCACTGTCGTCATGCGCAATCCACTTGCTCGCCCCTGCAGATTTGTCATACGAGCAAAAATCAACGTTCGACATACCTTAGGGAGCTTCAGGGCAGGCAACCGCTGTGATATCCTACATCTTGACGACAGACGGCCTGTTCAAAAGTGAGCGAACGAGCGGTGCGGTCGACATCAATCCCCCGTCTCTTGCAAAGTTACAAAAGATCGATCATTTACCAGGAGAGCGAAGATGCAACATTTTGCTTCCAGTTGGCATGAATGCCGAACACGTGCTTGCAAGCACGCATGCGCCGATTAGGGTCTTGGCCAACCACATTGGTCTGCAAACCAAGGTTGGTCACATGCAGATCAATCAGCCAGCTGTCATCTAATCAAGGATTCTCGATCAAGCTTGATGAGAGTATACTTTGGACAAAGAGACCATCCCTTCGAACCTCTTTGTCCGATACAAAATCCTGCGCACGCTCTTTGCGCGCTCGAAACCAATATCATAATCAGTGGACCTAATTTGGACCTGTCATGGCAAGATTCTACCTTGACTGCAAGTCTACACAGCTGCTGCAGCTCATGCCCCTTATCTTTTATCTCTGCCTCCCACTTTCGCTCGTCTCCTCTCCATGCCCTCCCGCCCCCCATTGCGGCGGATCGTAGGGGGTCAACAGGATTTGGAACGGGGGTTGTTTGGAGACGTTTCTTCACATAAATAGGGGGTAGGGTGCTAGTTGTGTAGAACAGTGGAGAATCGATGGAATTGGGGGTAGTGGTAGTGTCAAAGACGGGTGCGTTCTGTAAACACCAGGGTGGTACTCCAACAAAACACCCCTACACACTATACAGTACGGGTGGATATGATTTTTAGGGGTCCTTGGCTATTTTATTTCCTGAGTAAAAGGGGGTACTACGATCAATTTGAAAGTTGGGTGAGAGAATCCACCTGATGGGGGTACGTAAGGACAACTCCAGGGGTACACATAAGAATACATGGGGTAGGGTACATTCGTCGCTGGGGGGGGGTACAGGGCACGTGGGCTAGGGTCGCTTCGAAGGAATATTCTGGTAGTAGTCTGGTCAAAAGTACCCCCCTTTTCTATATTTGAAGTACCCACCTCTCGTAGTCCTCCTGCTTCGATCGTTCTCCCCATTCATACCACCTACCCTTGATGGACAGAAGTTTGCGGAGATGGAGGGGTATAAAATACCCCACAATACGATCTTTGTAGGGTACCAGTGGGTACCCTACCTATTAAAAATTCTTCGAAGAATCGTTATAAAGAACGATCTTGTCTTTTTTTCTTGTCTGGCGGCCTCCATCGCACAAGGGCAGCACGTGAAGCTCGAGACTTTTCTTAGTGAGACTCTGCTGCCTCCAAGACCTCAGTAAGTTGCCCCCCGCCCCGCCGGGCCGCGCCCCGCCGTTTCCCGGGGGCCGCCGTCGGGTGACGGGCGCCGGGCCCCGGCCCGCGCCGCCGCCTGGCACTGCACGGCTCCACTGGCACCAGTCTGACGGTGTCAGGGTCAAGCCTCCTCCGACTCTCCGATGATTATTGTCCTCGTACTGATTTTTAACTTAACTTTGAGTAAAGGACGGCAGAGGGCCGGGCGGGCGGCGGCGGCCGGGCGGGCCGGGCCGCCGGGTCCATCCGACGTCATGTCAACTTCCGAGTTCTTGAGCACCGGTACGGTTGGCACTAAAATGGATTATCACTACGGGTCCAAATATAAATCGAGATGGGGGTGGGGGTCATCATCAGTCCGTAGGGCGTCCTTTCTGTGCTGGGTGCAACGAAGCGAAGGAACGGGCAAGTTAGCGAGGAGGAGGAGGAGGAGGAAGGGAGGCAGGGAGGCAGGGAGGGAGGAAGAAGAGGCAGGAGATCCGAGGCAAGAGGAGTTCCGAACGGAAATAGTGTACGAACTGGGAGGAAAGAAGAAATGTCTTTACGAGGTACTTCACGGAGTGTTAATCAAATGCAGTGGGATAAATTCAAAGATGGGTGAATGACGAGGAGAAAGGAGAGGAAGGAGCAACTAAATTCAACGCCGAGATCCTATTCAGAAAGTTTTGAAGCAGAAGAACTTTGAGGGCGGTAGGCTTTGTCGTTTCGAGAGAAAGAGGAGAGTCACCAATCAAGGGGCGCGGAGCGAATTGATCTGAGCACAGATGGCGCTGCGAATCAAGTTCGTCGAAGCCAGAGGGTTGAAGAGCGTTCAGATGATCGGCAAACAAGACCCTTACATCAAGTGCGCTCCTGGACTGGTACATCCAGCGCTCGCATGTTGCGATGTTGGTTCACCTCAACCTGGCAGGATGCGTCCGTTGTGCATGGAACGGCCCCATTGGCGTCCATGCGGCAGCACAGGTTTGCAGGGGAGACCCGAATCTTGCTGGAGGAGTGGAAGAGCCCCTGCAACACAGATGGAGGCAAGGATCCAAAGTGGGCCGGGGCAGAGGAGGCAGTGTACGAAGCTTCCTTGCTCCCTGGGGTCGACCACCTGTACGTGAGCCTTTGGGACGAGAACAAGCACATGTCGGACAGCTTCATCTGCGACACATGGATCTGCCTGCATGACGTGCTTGTCAACGGGAAAGACGACAGGTGGCATCCGCTGTACATCCAAAAGGGCGAGCAGAAGGGTGAGATTCACCTCGAGATCAGCTGGCATCAATCCAAGTCCTTCATCCCCGCGCACGTCATCTGCCCGCTCACCTTGTCCATCCCTACTGCCAGGGATGCAGCTGGTAAGCTCCTGTCCATGGGCTTCACCCTTCACGACCAGACCATCGGTGAGCTGAAGAAGAAGTTCAAGTCCTCTTCGGACCAGCAGCTCGTCCAGGCGGTCAGGGCCTGCTATCCCAGCATCATGGAGTCTTTCACTGCCAAGTCCGTCAAGGTCTTGGAGCAGGGAGGGGTCCCTGTGTGCCACGTGGATGGAGTGGCCAGCAGGGCGGGTTTGCGGGTAGACGACATCATCATCGGATATGCTTCCGACTCCAAGATCAAGGACCCAGAGAAAACGGGGATCAACGGTGAGACTAGCCTTCCACCCCATCCTCCTCCTCCTCCTCCTCCTCCTCCTCCTCTTCCTCCTCCTCCTCCTCCTCCTCCCTTCCTCTCAAATTCCTCATGACGTCTGCATGCCCCGTGCTGCCTGTGTGCTCAGTCTTTGCTGCAGCTCTGATCTCGAAGACGGCGGAGTGGAAGAGGATTAGCGATGAGAGCAAGCAGAAGGCTCATGCCTGCTTGCTGCCATCGGCCCAGAATGGCCGCGTCACCCTCACGGTCCTCCGGGCCGTCCCCTTGAGCCGTATCCCCGGCGACCATCCACTGAGAGTTGCATACACGATCCCCCCCTCCTCCCTCATCTATGAGCCTCAGGCAATCAAGGTCATAGCGGGGAAGAGGATCGCCGACCTCCAGGCTCAGCTGAGGCCCCTGGAGGCCCTCCCGGTCCAGTACTCCTGTACTGAAGTCCCCGGTGGGCTCACCGTCTGTCCCAAGACCGGACTGATCTCCGGCAGCCCGTCGGCGCCGGGCGACCATGTCCTCCACATCACGGCGCACAACGTGTGCGGGATGAGGGTCAACTCTCAAGTCAAGATCCTGGTCCTGCAGGAGCCCAGCACCTTCGTGTACCAGCTCGGTCATCAGCTGCAGTACAAGCTGGGAGAGGCCATCACACCCAATGAGGTAAAGGAGGTGGACGGCTCCGGCCCGTTCACCTTCTCCTCGGACCCCGGGCTCCCTCCCGGCCTTCAGCTGGACCCCAGCACAGGAACGATCTCGGGGACTCCAGTGCAGGACGTGACCGAGCACTGCTGCACGATCTTCGCCTCCTCCGAGGGAGGGCGGATAGGATGCGACATGCTCATCTCAGTCTTGCGTCCCCCAGAGGCCTTGAGCTTCCCGCAAGCCGAGGTGATGCTGGTCAGGAACGTGGGAATGGATGGCATGCAGGCGACGTTCACAGGAAGCGGGCCCTTCACCTTCTCCAGCTCTCCTGAGCTTCCTGCTGGGCTTCAGGTCCGGGATGTTCTAACTCTCCTCCTCCTCCTCCTCCTCCTCCTCTCACCAACACCACCTCCGTCAACCCTCCTTTCACCCTCCTTACGTCCTCCCTTCAACCCCCCACCCCTCGTTTCCTCTTGCTCCTCCTCCTCCTCCTCCTCCTCCTCCTCCTCCTCCTCCTCCTCCTCCTCCTCCTCCTC